AGGAGCCTGCAAAGGAAGATTGTGAGTTCAAAGCCAGCCTTAGTAATGGCAAGGTACTCAGCACCTCAGTGAGACCTGTCTCTAAATAAAATACAAAATAGGGCTGGGAGTGTGGCTCAGTGGTTGAATGCCTCTAAGTTCTATCCTCGGTACACCACCACCACCCCCAAAAATACACTCATACATCATTGCTGGTAGGAAAACAATTGATATAACCATTAGAGAAAGTGGTATGGAGATTCCTCAGAAAACTTGAAATGGAACCACCATTCGACTTAAATTATTCCACTCCTCAGTTTATAAATAAAGGACTTAAAATCAGCATACTACAGTGACACAGCCACATCAATGTTTAAAGCATCTTAATTCACAATAGCTAAACTGTGGAATCAACCTAGATGTCCTTAAACAGATGAATGGATACATAAAAGTGGTATGTGTATACAATGGAACATTACTCAGCCTTAAAGAAGAATGAAACTATAACATTTGCAGGTAAATGAAAGGAGCTAGAGAATATCATGCTAAGTAAAATAAGCCAATCCCCGAAAACCAATGGCCAAGTATTTTTTCTGATATGCAGATGCTAATTCACAACAAGGGTGGGGAGGAGAACCAAGGGAAAAGAGAGGTACTTTGGATTAGGCAGAGGTAAGTGAAGAGAAGGGCGGGGGGGGGGGGGGGGGGCGGGGGATGTGGCTCAAGGGGTAGCGCGCTCGCCTGGCATGCATGCGGCCCGGGTTCAATCCTCAGCAACACATAAAAACAAAGATGTTGTGTCCGCCAAAAACTAAAAAATATATATTAAAAAAAAGAGAGAGAGAAGGGAGAGGGCATGGGGGTAGGCAGGATAGTAGAATGAATCAGACATTATTACCCTATGTACACATATAATTACATTACTGGTATGATTCTACATCATGTACAACCAGAAGAATGAGAATTTATACTCCATTTATGTATGATATGTCAAAATGCATTCTATTATCATGTATAACTAATTAGAACAAATTAAATATACATATATATATATATTCACACACTTATATTACCATCATTATTATGCATATACAAAAGAAGGGAGGGAAAACTAAGAGGATAGCAGAAATCCTCAAGAAAATATCACAACCAGATCAATAGAAATAATTTAAAATTTATATATATCATGAGGAAGTAATATTTATCCTAGGAATACAAGGAGGATCAACATTAGAAAAAAAATCAATGAAATTTACTACATGCATGGAGATATAATCTTAACAGATAGAGAAAAGGCATTAATGCCTTAAATATCCCCCAAAAGAGGCTTTACTAAAGATACACATGTATTAAACAATAAAGGGTATCGAACAGAAATCTCTCACAAACATACTTAAGTGGAAAAAATTTAGCTAGCTTTCCTTGCAAGTTGAGAACTTCCCTTGGAAATAGAAATGTTTTCCACTCCTCCAAGCAATCAGAGCCAACATTTACTCAGTACTAGAGATTTGGACCAATGCATATTACTAAAATTAAGAGTTTTCAGCTTAATCATTAAAATAAATCAATAGTGTGACAATACACTAGAAATACCAAATAAAGAGAAAATAGAACACCATTTACTGTATAAACAGAAAATGATAAATATCTAGAAATTAGTCTAACAGCAATAAACAAAAAAAATTAGAAAACAAAAAAACCTGAAAAGAGCCATAACTTATTCATTGAGATGATTTAACATTGTAAACACATTGCTTTTCTCCACATTAATCTAAAATCAAAGTTATTCATACAAGAATTTTGGGGTAACTGGACAAACTGTGAATTTTATATGTTAAACCAAACATCTACAAATATTTGAAAAAATCCTAGCAAACAGAGAGTTGCCTTATCAGATATCAATTTCAAAGTCATTATAATTTTAAAAAGTTACTAAGATGGGTATAAGAATAACAAATCAACTGAATTTACAATACATCCTAGAAAGAGACTCATGTATTTGTCAGGTTATTTCTCATACATATACCAAACTCATAAATGAACAGGTCTGAATGATAAGTTTCACACACTTAATTTTCTGTAATTGCTGTTATATTTAATATTTAGACTTTATCTTTTAATCTAGGGAGGGTGGACCTGAAAATTTCTGAAACTCCAAGGTCCAACATCCATCTTCCTAAGCCTAAGACAGCATTTTCTGTAATTTCTTTCCCTAGTTTCTAGTTCTCCTGTATTTCCTCCTCCCTCCATATAAGATTCTTCCCTCTCTCTAGGAGCCTGTGAAAAAACAAAAGGAAATCACATAGCTCATTATATCTAAATGTGATTAAAGCATTAAAACTCTGTTTTAATGCACATGTAAAACATCTATAATATAGTGTTCGAAATATTAGAGCCCTTTCCTTTCCTCCAGTTACCCAATTTGATGTCATTTTATGTAACTTCCCAACAAGCTCAGACCCCAGTTTCTAAGGACAGAGTTGGTGAAGGCAAAATGCAACAAATGATGGATTATCACATAAGACATACAACCCTTTACCACAGAGTAAGTAGTTCTCATACTTGAACATGTTCAGAACCACTTAGGTTATTAAAAGACAAACTACAAACTCCCATCCCCAGAGTTTCTAATCAGTGCATCTGATGTAAAATGCACTTCTAACTTCCTGGGTAGTGCTAATTTTTCTTCCTGTGCCACAATTTGAAAAACACTACCCTACAGAGCACTAGTTATCAAGTGGATAACAAGGAGTGCTAGTTATTTCTTGGGGACAAGGATGCTGCTAACCATCCTACAATGCATAAGATAGCTCCCAGAGTAAATCAAATCATTATCAGGTCCAACACATCAATGGTGCTAATGTTGAGAAATTTATTACAAATACATGATTTGATCATTGAATCATCTTGATGAAAGTTCTTCTTTCACCAAGATAATTCTATTTTCCTTCAGATATTGATAACTCTTTGAATTTTACTCATTTACAGCAAAATGAAGTTTTGAAGACATTAATACTTAAAGGTATAGGGAGCCACAATAGGGATAAGTACTTACTCAATGCTACTGATAGACTTCTAGTAAAGAAATACAAATTAACATTCATTTTGCAAGAATTATAAGAAAACTAATTACATTAAAAGAGTGACTTCCTTAAAAGTACTAACAATATTTCTTAAGATGAGTGAAAAACAAACTGGTGTTCATTTCAGTATTATATATGTATGTGTATACATATATATGCATTTGATTTATTTTTTTTCATTTATTTTCTTTTTTTTTAATTGGTTGTTCAAAACATTACAAAGCTCATGACATATCATCTTTCATACATTTGATTCAAGTGGGTTATTAACTCCCATTTTTACCCCAAATACAAAGTGCAGAATCACATAGGTTATACATCCACATTTTTACATAATGCCATATTAGTGACAGTTGTATTCTGCTACCTTTCCTATCCCCTACTATCCCCCTCCCCTCCCCTCCCATCTTCCCTCTCTACCCCATCTACTGTTGTTCAATTCTCTCCCTTGTTCGCCCCCCCCTTTCCCCTCACAACCTCTTATATGTAATTTTGTGTAAGAGTGAGGGTCTCCTTCCATATCCATACAATTTCCCTTCTCTCTCCCTTTCCCTCCCACCACTCGTCTCTGTTTAATGTTAATCTTTTCCTCATGCTCTTCCTCCCTGCTCTGTTCTTAGTTGCTCTCATTATATCAAAGAAGACATTTGACATTTTTTTTAAGGATTGGCTAGCTTCACTTAGCATTATCTGCTCTAATGCCATCCATCTCCCTGCAAATTCCATGATTTTGTCATTTTTTAGTGCTGCATAATACTCCATGGTGTATAAATGCCACATTTTTTTTTATCCACTCATCTATTGAAGGGCATCTAGGTTGGTTCCACAGTCTAGCTATTGTGAATTGTGCTGCTATGATTATTGATGTGGCAGTATCCCTATAGTACGCTCTTTTAAGGTCCTCAGGGAATAGTCCAAGAAGGGCGATTGCTGGGTCAAATGGTGGTTCCATTCCCAGCTTTCCCAGGAATCTCCATACTGCTTTCCAAACTGGCCGCACCAATTTGCAGTCCCACCAGCAATGTATAAGTGTACCCTTTTCCCCACATCCTCGCCAGCACTTATTGTTGTTTGACTTCATAATGGCTGCCAATCTTACTGGAGTGAGATGGTATCTTAGGGTGGTTTTGATTTGCATTTCTCTGACTGCTAGAGATGGTGAGCATTTTTTCATGTGCTTGTTGATTGATTGTATGTCCTCCTCTGAAAAGTGTCTGTTCAGGTCCTTGGCCCATTTGTTGATTGGGTTATTTGTTATCTTATTGTTTAATTTTTTGAGTTCTTTGTATATTCTGGATATTAGGGCTCTATCTGAAGTGTGAGGAGTAAAAATTTGTTCCCAGGATGTAGGCTCCCTGTTTACCTCTCTTATTGTTTCTCTTGCTGAGAAAAAACTTTTTAGTTTAAGTAAGTCCCATTTGTTTATTCTTGTTATAACTCTTGGGCTATGGGCGTCTTATTAAGGAATTTGGAGCCCGACCCCACAATATGTAGATCGGAGCCAACGTTTTCTTCTATCAGATGCAGAGTCTCTGGTTTGATATCAAGCTCTTTGATCCATTTTGAGTTAACTTTTGTGCATGGCGAGAGAAAGGGGTTCATCTTCATTTTATTGCATATGGATTTCCAGTTTTCCCAGCACCATTTGTTGAAGATGCTATCCTTCCTCCATTGCATGCTTTTAGCCCCTTTATCAAATATAAGAAAGTTGTAATTTTGTGGATTGGTTTCTGTGTCCTCTATTCTGTACCATTGGTCCACCCGCCTGTTTTGGTACCAGTACCATGCTGTTTTTGTTACTATTGCTCTGTAGTACACTGTACAATTGATCTTAAGAGAAAGCACTGATCACAAATCCTAATAAATATGACTGAGGTAATGGTACTTCCTATATAAAAGTATATATGTATATGAACACACACAGACAAATGAACTTACTCCAATGGGCTGAAAAATAAGTCCATCCATTTCATGACTGACTTCTTTGGCAAAATTTCCTTCAAGTAGCTGTAAAAACAAACAAACAAAAAAAAACAGCATATATTCCTTAGAAATACAATAATCACGTTTAAATTATTTTAAATTCTTGATAAGCTTTATAAAGACATAATATATAAGCTATTAAAATTGAAATACCAAAATAAAAGAGAGAGATACAGAGAGATCTAGGTTAATATACTGTAAGATTTTTTAAACTAATACATAAGGATTTCAATTTCCAAGAAAAGCTACTTTGAACCACAATCCTAATTCAACCACTAAAAAAGGATAAAAAGAGTGAATATGATTAATCATACTGCGTGATATATCTCAAAATAGTTAGAAAATAACACTATGAATATACTCATGCTAAAGACACAAAAAACGTTTAAGGTGATAGATATGCTAATTACCTTGAGTTGATCATAACCCAATATATACATGAATCAAAACACTACACTGGGTCTCATAAATATGTACAAATATTATATGACAATCAAAAAATAAAATAAAATGATCATAAAAAATTGAAGATATTCTGAATGCATTACTAAGCCAGCACAAAAGGAAAAAAGATGTACTCCCCCCCCCCCAAAAAAAAAGTGAAAATAGAAACTCAGAAAAGTAATAAAGGGAATAAAATAAATAAATAAAAACACACAAAAAAAGGAGACAGCAAAGAAGCTTGTTTGGGGACAAGAATTTGCAACCACAAACTAGTTTAAACATGAGGAGTACAGTCCCCACAAAAAAGATAACTAATTAAAGCAAAAATACGAACAATGTATTATTGTGTTAATAACATGCAGAAGAAATATACAAGAGAAAATGTGATGATTCTATCATATGGTTCTTTTTTTAAATATTTTATTTTTTAGTTATAGTTGGACACAATACTTTTATTTTATTTATTTATTCTTATGTGGTGCTGAGGATGGAACCCAGGGCCTCGCACGTACTAGGCGAGCTCTCTACCACTGAGCCACAATCCCAGCACCCCCCCAATCATATGGTTATTAACCCAACTATCAAGTGATATACTTTTTTTTTAATTTAACAGAATTCACTTTGATATAATTATAAAATAACTATAAAAACTGAAAATTAAAAACCTTAAAGCAACAACTGCTACAATATACCCAAAGATGATATGCCTGATACAACTAAAAAGTGAAGATACAATAGAATTAAAATTCTCTAAAAGAATAATGGCAAGAAAATATAAAATGGGACTACATGAGAGAAATCACATGGTAAACCAAGTATTAAGATGGTAGATTTAAAAAAAAATTAGCAATAATTATATTAAATTTAATGGTACAAATACTCCAATCAAAAGGCAAAGGGTGCCACACTGAATTAAAAAGAAAAAATAATTCAGCTAGCTTAAAAGTAAAAGGATAGAATAAGATGTTAAATTCCAACACTAATAAATAGAAGGCTTACATTAATTGAGGACTTAAGAATAAGAAATATCAAAAATAAAAAGCAACAATACATGCTGACAAAGTAAGTGAATTCAACAAGAACCTACAGTAATCCCCAAAGCAATTACACCTTTAAAAAAAAAAATCTCAAATGCTTTTTTTTTTTTAAGAGAGAGAGAGAGAGGGAATTTTAAATATTTATTGTTTAGTTTTTTCGGTGGACACAACCTCTTTATTTTTATGAGGTACTGAGGATCGAACTCAGCGTCCCGCGCATGCCAGGTAAGTGCGCTACCGCTTGAGCCACATCCCCAGCCCTCAAATGCTTTTTTTAAAAAAATCCTAATATAATAAATAAGAAAAGGGGGGGGGGAATCCTCAGTTATACATGGAGAATTTAATTCTGCTCTTCAAGTAAATGAATCAACATGTAGAAAAATATTCAGTAGGAGTTAAGACATCTTGACAAGACTTATAGAACATGAGCAGACAGAAAATCAGTATAGATATGGACAACTAGAAAATCACCATAAAACAACCTGGCCTAATACCACCCAACAATAGAACACATTTTTTTCTCAACTGCACACAATACATTTAAAAATTGAAGTCATACAAGGTATATTCTCTAATTGCAATGAATAAATTAGATATCAGTAAGAAAAACATTCTTGTGAAGTTGCCCCATGTTCAGAAACTAAAGAAAATACTTCTAAAGAATTCAGGGGCTGGGGTTGTGGCTCAGTGATAGAGCACTTGCCTAGCACGTGTGAGGCCCTGGGTTCAATCCTCAGCACCACATAAAAATAAACAAAATAAAGGTATTGTGCCCAACTATAACTTAAAAAAAATCTTAAAAAAAAAAGAATTCATAAATAAAAGAAGAAATCAATAGGAAAATTTTTAAATATTCTGAACTTAAGAAAAAAATACAATAGTCTGACACTTGAAGGATGAAATTAACACACACTTTACAGGTAAGAAAAAAAGTCACTGCATTAAATGCCTACTTAAAAGAAAGATAGGTCAAAACTCAGTGACCTTGACTTCTCCCTTAAGAAAGTAAGGAGAACTCTAAAGAATTTAAGAGTCACAAATATAAGAGTGAGTCATTTGAGATGAGCTAGTATATAATCAATAAAGATGACTTCTGCCCATAGGGATAAATCCCAGTCCTTGCTGAGGAGGGTGTACCCAAAGCTCACTAAGCTGCAAAGAAGTTGTTGTAATGTCTCTTGAGTTTTAAAAATGGAAGTTGTGGTCAGAAAGCAGAAGGTAGGAGGATAGAAAGTTGAGGCTGCCCTCAGCAACTTAACCAGGCCCTGTCTTAAATTTAGATAGATAGATAGATAGATAGATAGACAGATATATGTATGTATGTATGTATGTATGTATGTAGAGGCTGTGGCCCAGAGCTTAAGCATCCCTGGGTTCAATCCATGGTGGAAGGCAGGAAGGCAGGCAGAAGGCAAGCAAGCAGGAAGGCAGGAAGGAAGGAAGGAAGATATAAGATTCCAAAGCAAAAGTAACTAAAACAAAAGAAAGTCACTGAAATGAAAATTTTGTAGAAATAGGCCAAGGTGATCAGAAGGTCAAACCAAACATGAGGAAGCAAGGATGATGGGCAAGCGTTGAGAGAAGAGTTTAGGTTAGGTTCAATCTCCTCAGAAAGAGGAAGAGTTACCAAAAAGTCTTAAATGTACTTAGTTAAAGTAGCATAGCTTGAAAGGTCACATTTTACTTAGGAACTTAAATGTCAGACATATTTAAAACTTACTTTGGTATTATTTTGTCTCTGATACTATATTCCAAAATAAAATGTCTTATACTTTTTAAGTTAGTCCATATCTTTTTCTCTTTTTCTACATTTTAAGTAAAATTTACTCATGTGTTACACTAGAATACTAATGCAAGAAATACCAAGCTAAACTAAGCTTTTGTTAGATAATTTACTGGATAATCAACAGCTCAATAAAAATAAAGTTTATATTCTGTGTTCATTAGGTAGATATCTCCCAAATGCCTAATAATGCTACAAACCAAGCAAGGGATACTGGGAAGCCAATGTTAATATAAGCCTAAACTCATATGGTTACATAATACATCTTAACTTTAATTTGAAATTAAAAATAATTAAATTCAATGATGTCATTAGCCATTTGTCCCTGTCAATCTTTTGTCAGAAATACAGTTCTGGGGGCTGAGGTTGTGGCTTAGTAGTAGAGTGCTTGCCTAACACAGTGAGGCCATGGGTTAGAGCCTCAGCACCAAATAAATAACTTAATTAAATAAGTTATTATTAAAAAAGAGAGAAAGAAAGAAATGCAGTTCTGCTTAAATTAACAAAGATGTCTCTAAAACATTTCTGATAAGTAAAGAATCCTGATTTAGAAATAATTGCAAAACCCTGGAGTGAATAAGTAGACTATATGTTCAATTACCTAAGTTAGGATATATTCCTTTTCAGAATTATAATTTTCTTGATTATTTTCCCTCTAGATAAAATTAGAAGATAATTGGATGAAAAGCAAAACAGCAGACATAATATATCAAACAGGTTTTAATAAAACAGTAGTATTTCATAAGGTTTTATTTCTAAAACAAATTTGCTCACTTATATACTTAAGCTTATCACTTAATTACCACCTGAAATATCATACAGAAGGCATGCAACTTTCCATGGATCAAAGATTACAAGAACTGACAAAGGTTATACCAGATGATTGACTCTGAATTGGTATTTTATATGTCTGTGAATCAAGAATTGAAAACCAAATCATTATAAATGCATAAGCAGAAAACTATAATGCACAAAGGCTTGAAATTAGAAACATGAGAAGCAAAATAGAAACTGTGAAGTTACGAAGTATACAAAGGAGTCTTTTAGAAATAATAAGGAAAATGATAGCTTAAGAATACAGCAAAGAAGAAAATGAAACGGCAGTGTTATCTGGAATACAAATTGGCATTATCAATTCATTATAGAATAGAAAATATGCCAAGGGAATATTTAAACAAGAATAAACTCTCTCCACCTTGCAGTTCTGGTCTATTTTACTCACATCAGATATTTTCTGGAAACTCCACAAGAACTTCAATTGACTGACTGAGACTACTCAATGAGGTAATTATATCTGTTGACCTCTATAACATGTTCTCATCACCCCGCTAATATCTGAGGTTTAGTTTTAACAATCCCCCCAAAATGGATATTTGCACTCTCCTATATATTAATATTTATTTTTTTCATTCCCAAAGTATAATTCTACTTCAGGTTAATATTATTCAATGTGTCCTAAATATTCTTCTAAACAGAAATTAATCATTTTACAATAAGCCATAGTTCTTGTTCACCACAAAACAACATGGTTATTTTCTTTAAAATGAATTATTTGATTACCACTATTTACCAATGTTACCTAAACAACTCCAGTATCATTAAAGTTAGCTCCTCAAAATATAAATAGCTTTTTGATACTATCATTGGCTTTTTCACTATTCTACATAATTGCAATTAAAATTAGGCTTAATAGTTCTGGTGAATCCCAACTGACAAGGTAAAAAAAAATCTAAAAACAAAATTTCTCTAGGACAGTTTAT